ACGATAACTCAAGAAATACCAAACATATTCATACGAAATTTTTTGAATGCATTTCCCATCGGCTAAGGAAGAACTGGTTAAAATTTGGTTGAATTTAGTTAAAAATTGAACGAGAAATGAACAAAATTTTGTCTTGCTTATCCCAGTCAATTAAAAAGAACTCACTGAATGCGTAATTAGGACGTGTATAATGTATGCACGCAGTACTAAGAAGACAATGAGATGATAAATCTCATTAAGCTTCAGCCCTAATTATCTATTGTCTTAGTTGCATTTCACACGACCGAAATTTAATGTGGGCGGAGGTATGCAGTCTCTGAGTGCCCTCTAGTTATTAATACAACACAAAGTAAACACTATCGACGAAAAATACAAAAGCTGTATTCCAATGTTTTACTATGGTTTTGCATTTGCACAGAATATACCAAATAAACCAATGACAGTTACATCCGAGAGTTAACGAACCAGTCATGGGAGCGGAAGAGGGACAGTTAGTCAGTTATACTTTTAAAAACCTTTGAAACTTTGTTTGCGCAAAATGGAAAAATAGCTGCTAATTTTAACACCAATAAATACACCTATACTGTCACCGAAATAAATACTCTTTATTTAAAAGCACGATTGCAATATACTTGATTATAAGAAGTTTTATTTTATTTTTCGCGCCTTTCTGTGATATTTTAAGATTGTGTCGGAATCAGCTTTAATTTGTGTTTTTTTAGAATATCGGCAGTAACTCTTGAACATGGATAACGTCATAAACTGGTTCTCACTCACGGGATGTGCGTACTATATAGAATCAATTCTGTATGGATGCGCTTCATTTTTAACATCGTACGTTGAGTGCGACTGTGCGAGCGTCGTCCGGCGTTTGATCACTTCCTTGCAGTTAAGATTCTCCCATTTCACTGAAATTTCGTGTCGCCTATATATTCTTATATGCTGTTTGATGTATGCAAGCGTCCCGATTTAGTTCACTTTCATTAAGCATGACTTGGAACGTTAAAGCTAGCACGCTCATTATACTGGTTCAAATCCGAAAACTTTTCGCCCCGTAGACACGCAGTTTCATCTCACACACTGCTATTTTATCTTCGCTAATTTCACAACAACGATATTTTCATTGTTATTAACCGTGTTCAACGACACGGATCGATAACGACACACGATTATATCACTCAAAACGACCAATTTCTATTAACCAGTCTTCCTAGTTTTAACAAAAGACCGTTTTGCTCGAATCACTATTAATTTGAGTTATGTTATTACTGTAATCTTATATGCGTGTTGGACGTATAAACTGACAACATATCTACAACTTTGAGAACATGAGAAGGTACAGATAACGCTTTCTAAAATCCTCAGTTCTAGCGATATCTCGTAAAATCATGTATGTAAAATTAAAGTATGTAAAATCACAAGGAAGTTAATGCTAAGTCTTTTGGCGATGTCACTGGCCTGAAAAATAACTATTTTAACGCGATCAAGCGAAAGTAATGCGAAGCCAACGTAACGGCAAAGACAACGCTAAAATGTGAAATATTGTCGATTGGTTGCTGCTAGAAGACTTACGACAGGATTAATCTTAAAAGCTCTGTTTACACTACGCTCAGTCAATTTTGGTTCTTGGACTACCTAAATAGGTAGTCCAAGGACCAAAAAAGTGGTACGGATACCCTGCCGTACCAAAAATTGAGCGTCAAGTGTAATAACCTTAATAAACTAGGAGAATAACTATGTTCACATCAAAGACAAAGATCAGTGCCAAGGTATAAAACCTGCTGTAAACTTTATACGACGAAGTGGAGAAATGTGTGCATAACGCCATAAGCTCTTCATTTGGTGATTTCAGAATAACACCAATTGATATAATAGTTCAAATGCAATGATAATAAAGTTACCTCTTGAGTTATATTTCAGAAACTGTCAGGTGTTGGAAATGTAAATGCTGACCCATTCCATAAGATTACCGTTTTACATCGTTGTATAAAACATTTTGATCGCATGTGAGGAAAAATTTCTCATCCCAGAGATATAGGCCAACGACTTAACATTGACGTCCTTGTGATTTTATAGAGATAGCTATACAGCCAGAACTGAGGATTTACATAGCGATATTGGTACCTTCCCAAAGTTTGTAGACAAGATATGTTGTTTACGTCCAACGCGCTTAAAATTACATATAAACTTAGCAAAACGGTCTTCTGTTCAATGTAGAGACTGGTTCATAGGAATTAGTCATTTTGAGTTATGCAATCGTGTGTCTTCATCCATCCGTGTCGTTGAACAACGAAACATTTTGTCACGTGAAATTAGTGAAGATAAAATAGCAGTTTGTGAGAAAACTGCGGGTCTACGGCGCGGGAAGTTTTCGGATTTGAACTCAGCGTGTTCGAAAGTGTTAGTTCCCATAAAAATATTCCAGTTCCAAGACATGCTTAATGAATGAAAATCGTTTTTTGGCACTTTTCGAGGTCACAGCAAACGGCCTAGCCCTATTACGTATTTCCTAAAATCGTATTTAGCTAAATGAGAATTTCAGACTTCTGAAAGATATTCTGAAGTCTATTCGTCAAAATGTCTATAACCATCCAAGTCTTAAAAATCCCGCCTTTGCATGTCTTGGTTAATTTCAACAAATTTCCCTGATCAGCGAGTGCATGTTAACATTAAGTTCTTTGCCAGAATTCAAGTTAATAATTTCAATTATAAAGCGCTGAAGCAGTGTATTTGGTCAAATACGGATGTGACTGTTACTGGTCAGTACCTTTCCTTTCTTACAAATCTGGCGTCAAAACGCATAAATTATTTTGTGACGTCAAAGCGGTTTCCGCTTACTTTTTGCTTTTCCGCTTACCGCGCAAACGGATGGCAAGTTAATTTTCGCTAACTTTATTTACTCAAACTGTCATTGTGTGTAACACATAATGTTTTCAATGCAGTCTATGATTAACAAATAGATAAGATTTTGCCGTTGTCTGTTCAGTTATAGATACACAGTATGACGTCATACTGTGGGAAGAACAAAAAAGTGGCTGTGTTCCTGGTAAAACCACAGGGAGCAGAGGATCGAGTTTATCTAGTAAAACAAGACAAACACCGTCTTACCTTGTTAATTGTAGTATATTTCATTTTATAATATAGCATTTGTAAATTCTGAACGCTGATTGGCTAAGAGCCGTGTTGATATAACTCCATGTCAACACGGGAAATTTTCCGCCGCTTGTAACACGGAAATTTTTCTTATTCTTCGGGCTTTTGACATTGCTATATTATAAAACAAATATAAAACATTTTTTTCCGTATTGATATATAGTTATATCAACAGGCGTCGTGTTTCCACACAATTTCTCGTTTTCCCAATTTCCACTCGTGTTGATATAACTGTATATCAACACGGAAAATGTTTTATATTTGTTAAGTAAAATCCCAATGTTAGCATTAAAAATGCATATTTATTCATCAAAATTATCGAATATAAAACCAATTAATATGAATTTTCAACATTAATATACTCCGCTGCCTTGAATTACCCAGAGGAGGTCGGACAAGCAATTAGCGAGTTGTCACGTGAGCTCTCGACCAATGAGATCGCTCTATTTTCCATCGTGTTTTCTGCAGAATTTGGGCAGAAAAATTTGTATTCGACGGAAAATAAATCGAGAAAAAACATTAATATTAAAATTTTCTTGCAAAATTTCAAGTGTAATAGTACTACTGCTAAAGATCTGGTGATATCTGCAAAAATCTCTAAGGTAAACGTTATTTTCAATGTTATTTTGATGTTTGAAATTAGACCACTCCCCGCGACGTGTTGACTCAAGTCTAAATATTTTTAGAATGTTTAAAATGAAATATCTAGAATTCCCATGGTTCGATTTTCCTCATTTTTGGCAGCCATCAAGAAAAATATATAAGCTTTAAATCTGCTGGAATGATCCCGGTGATCCCCCGGCAGTTTTTGAGATATTGGCCATTGAAGCGACTATTGTCAACTCGACGCTCGCTAAAATGGCGTCTAATACCTTGGAGAGAATTTGCGCCATCAAAGATTATATTTTCAATGAATTTTTGTTAAAGTGTTAAAATATTATTTAGAAGACTTAGGAGTTGTTTCAATATTTTTGTAGAATTTATATATTATGCAATTTTCAAAGTTTTTTCTGTCTTTGGCCGACGCGACTGGATCGTGTACATATTCCCATACGAGCTGATCGCCTGATCCTGGGGTTTTTGTTGCAAATCGAGCTACGGAATCCTCATCATGGACAACTCAGTGTTATAACAGCCCATTTCAAACCAGCAGAGAGATCCACTTGTTTTAAAACAATAAAACAAGTTTTTATTGTATTTTTATTGTATTGTGGTCAATTTATTGAAATTTAATAAATATTATGCACGAGTCAATTCCAGGAGTAACCATCACCCCCCCCTCCCCCCCGGGAACACACCTGGGCATTTGATTTGACTGGTTACGATAGTGCACAGTTAATAGAAGAAGTGTGCCGGGACACAACTAGGAGTAGGAGACTAATGCACGGCCCTTGGGCAAGCTGAGAGTGGAAAATGCCCCACCCCGGGGACGATGAATGCATATCATAGGCATAGTCATTTAATAACATTATACTATTAAGCTGCTATGGAATATTATAAAACTTTATTTGCATGGCACAGGTAATAAGTTTTGCAAAAGTGAAACCATTTGTCAAATCCCCGGGCCCAATACCCGGCCCCTGTACACGTACCCGGCCCCTGTGCACGTATATGACAGGTAAATTCCCGACCCCTGTGAACTGTCTATTAGGCAAATTCCCAGGGGTGTCCCGGGGGGATGGTTACTCCAGGAATTGACCTGTGCAATTATATAAATAGACATCTTCTTGTTTTATTGTTGCATTAATTTTAATCTGAAAAAATTACAAACAAAGTAGGTCAAGTGCATGGATAAATTACTCATTTATTTACTAAAGCACATTTTTACAGTTATGTACTTATTTTGCATGAGTGTACATGACAGATTGTTTTAATTAGATATAGAAAGTTATCATTTATAACCCATGGTTTGTTTAAAAAATGCTGGAAAAAATCTAAAAAGTTAGCCAATTGAAATAAATGCACTTCAATAACTTGCTAAACATAGTTAGTTGCTATTATTTATATAAAAACATCTGTCAACATACACTCATGCTTTTCCTACCACTTAAGTCTCCCATGCACTAACCATGTCTCTGCAAAATGTTTTGGATAAAATCCTATTTTAAAAAAGTCAATCCTATACTTGATATGCTGAACATATTAGACATCCACGACATCTCTTGCAGCAATTAATGGGTGCGGATACTTGCATAGTTCAGAAGCAATATATAACCAACATGGGGCCATCCAGTTCCATAGTCTAGATCAATTGCTATTGCACTTGGGTCCCTTGGATTCAATGGCTCTGGCCGTATTCTTACATTCACTGGTTTATCTTGTTCATGAAGAGTGAGGTATGCCTTTCCCACAGATGCACTTGAATGGTACAGCCTGGTTGATTTCTTCCTCCTCATCACTTAACTTGTCATCACTTTCTACCCTATCACCTCTTTCATTATCATATCCATCCTGAACAGGCTCATGACCAGCCAACAACTCAAGTAAATCTCTTTCTACAAAATCATAACAAGAAAATTATTATTTCATGCACCGTCATCTCTAAAATTAGCAATCTTACACAAAAGCACATGTAACCTCTAAATTCTTAATATACCTAACTGTGTTAGGTCTGTGTAATAGAAGGTTAGCACTTTTTTCCATCCAGCAAACCGCCCTATCGATTTTCTAAAGTCGTTTTTTTTATTAATTCGGTTAGGGTTAGAGTTAGAGTTGCGGTTAGGGGTTAAAGTAGGGGTAGGGTTTGGGTTAGTTACATAGCCATTTAACACCTCTTCTATCTTCCGAAAATGACGTCAGGTCAGTTTGCTGGATGGAAAATAGTGCTAACCATAATAGAACAACACACAAACAATATTTAGATGAAAATTGAAAAATATTAAACTACAGTTTGCACATTTAAACAACCATCCACAACTAGATACAAACAGGCATCATACTCAGCAAAAATTTATAAAATACATACAAATAACAATACCTTCAGACTCATCTGAAAACCAATGTCCATCATCAATTGTATTCGCTGTCAACTGATATGATCCACATCGAAATCCAAAAGCATATGCTGGATGTTTTCATTAGCAAACTCATCAGGAATAGGGTCAAACTAAAGGGTTGAATTTAATATTTGAAATATTACGCCATAATTTGTACAGTGTATTTATAAAATTACAGTACAATATTGAAAACAGCAAAGCGGAAATTTGAAACAAGTCAACTGTATTGCATTGTAGGATACCAACCTTAAATACTGCGCTTGTTTTCACGATGATGATACACCATACACGGAGATTAAAAAGAACAGCCTTGCTATTGGGAATAACACAATTCCTTCGCGGATTATTTATAAAGCTATAAAAAGACAGCACGTCCCATGCAATTTAATATAAGGTAAACTTGGTATAGTAACTCACACGTCATAATGAGGATCGCAACAATACAGCAATAACATGCAATTTTCACGAAGTATTGCAGCCTGACAATCTTGTCTTTCGAATGCTTTCATATTTGTTTACTCAGAGAGATGTTCACTCCACGACAGTCAAAGAGTCATTGAAGCCACGCCTGGAATTAGGCGCTCAAACCCATGATGCTTTGCGGCCTGCTTGTCCGACCTCCTCTGTGAATTACCGTAGACTTGTCATTTCCGAAAAGCTAACGAACGATGGCCGAGATAGCGAAATGTGAGCCCACAATAATCTAGAAAAGCGGAGTATATTCATTTGGTACATGAAGTACGAATAAAAAATCATACAATGTTTATAAACTTTATATGTTTCACGACAATTTCAAATGAAAGACAGAAAGATATTACAATTAACCAGGTAAGATGGCGTTTGTATTGTTTTACTAGATAAACTCGACTCCTCTGCTCCCTGTGGTAAAACGGACCCCAAATTTATCAGCGCGTATCATCGCCTTGAATCACGTCTCAGACGATATTAATGCGTGCGTGGAGTCGACACGTACGTCACAGCCACTGAGAGAGTATGTAAAGAGCGAGAATTCAATGTTATACAACATTTGTTGAGAGGGTAAACGCGATGTGAAATAAAACATTAAATTTGAAAAACCGACTGCATACAGTGTCAGTAGTGACAGTACGAATTTGAATTTGAATTTGAGATCCAGCAAAGTAATACAATCTCATCAAAAAGAGGCGAAAAGAATTCTATAATGGAGAGATATTTGGTTCTTGTGTTGTTGACTTTATTCTTCAGCGAGTTGGCGACTCCTGCACTCGGCTGTGAATCGAAATCTGACTGTGATGATGGTCTTAGCACGACTGCAATTGTGGTTATCGCCATCCTCGTTCCAATTGGTTTCGTATGCATTGTGCTGTTCTCCATCTACATGTGTTGCTACTACGATGGACCGGACGAAAATAGTGGTAGTGGTGGTGGGAGAGGGCACTGGGGAGGTCACAGCGGAGGAGGCGATTGTGGGGGAGGAGGCAATTGTGGTGGCGGGGGAGGGGACGGAGGTGGATGCTAAGGGACACCATGGTCATACCCGATATTATTTATATGGGTCAATATATATATTTATATATATATATATATATATATATATATATATATATATATATATATATATATATATATATATATATATAAAAAAATGTTATTGTATGTAGCCAATCTCGTACCCAGAGCAATGCCTTTGCGCGGGCTAGGAAGACATTGGCTCTGGGGTTCCGGTTGTTTGCTGGCATGCACTACTGATAAACTTTAAACCAATCACAGCACAGGAAAAATTCTATTTCCCCAGAGCCAATGCCTTCCTAAGCCCGTGCACAGGCATTGCTCTGGGTACGAGATTGGTATGTAGCTCGAAAGACTTGGATGTACCTGGGATGTCACAGTTAATTGACATAACCACAGATGTGAGAGAGAACTTGCGTACATATAAACTGTGAAAACGTATACTAAGCTCTAAGCTTTGAGTGGATTTTTCAATACCGGTGGATAGTTTTATATTGATAATTCATTCAACACATTGACATGCATCAAGAAACAGACGATGGATAATAAATTGACAGCTATCAGAATCAGATAAAATTGTTAATTATGTATTTAAATTAAATATGTACATAGTATTCCGCAAAAAATACCGAAAAGCTATATTCCAGATTTTTACAAAAAGCCAACGAATTGATAACTATCAGAATGAGAAAAACTGCATGTAAGGCCTGTTTTATACGTCGAATTTCGGTCGCGTCGAATACAATTCAAACAATAGATCATGAAGCTTAACGATCTCTTATAATCTCTTTAAAATACTCATTAATAATTCATAAACCTTGTGGCAAATCATGTCAGCCATAATATGTCACGTGGAGTGACTTTATATCGATCTGATAAAGCATGAGGCATTATATAATTGTTCATCCTAATTAGTATGATTAGGTAATAGATTGGTTCATCCTAATTAGTATTCTTTTCTAGGCGTATTTTAAGCTATTCAAAACACTCGTTGTCGTGTTTTATCAGACATAAAACGCTCGTCTGCACCTCGCGTTATATATCTCATAAAACACTTCTACTCGTGTTTTAAATAGTACTTAAAATACTCATTAATAATTCATAAACCTTGTGGCAAATCATGTCAGCCATAATATGTCGCGTGGAGCGACTTTATATCTGATAAAACACATGTGGCATTATATAATTGTTCATCCTAATTAGCATGATTATATAATGGTTCATCCTAATTAGTATTCTTTTGTGGTCGTATTTTAAGCTATTCAAAACACTCGTTGTCATGTTTTATCAGATATAAAACGCTCGGCTGCGCCTCGCGTTTTATATCTGATAAAACACTCCTACTTGTGTTTTAAATAGTACATAATATGACGTATAAAACAGGCCTAAAAGTCTTTTGTTAATATTGCTGTGAAGGTAACACTACTTACCAAAGAAACAAACGCTGTATTCCAATGTTTTACTATGGTTTTTCACAGACTCAGGGACGCCGGAAGGGGTGGGCGCAGGGGGGCATCGCCCCCCTTGCTCTTTAGTAAGGGGATCAGAGGGGGCGAAAGTGCCTTTAGAGTAAAAATTCTAACCTAAAAAATATGAGGTACAACGATTAAATGAGTATGAATTACGCGTGAAATGGACGTAATATTGAAATATACGTGAAATTTTCTGGAATATTAGTCAAATTTTTTGCCCTTGTTTTGGTGAATTAAGGTTCGGGAAAAATTTTTCGGCAACGAAATATTAATTAGTGATTGCCCTTACGTCAACATTGCCCACCTGTGCCCTACCCTCGCTCTGGCGTCCCTGCACAGACTATACCAACTAAAACAAGTGACAGTTAATCAGAGTTGACGAACCAGACATGGGAGCAGGGGGGGGGGGGGCATTTATACTTTTAATGGGCCTATATATTACCTAATGAACAAAATTTTGATCTAGACAAGTCTAGACAAAAATTTCATCACAGCTTGGAAAAGAGCATCACAAAATTAGTAATATTCCGCAGTTTCGTTGCGAAATGTTGTAAAGTGCGGATAATACAGTGTGTATAAAAAAAACTGAACCTTTTCAAATTCAAATTAGCTATAACGTATTGTAGTAATTTGACAGCTCTAATTGCTTTGAATTAATGGTTGGGTAAGAACACAAGGTCTTGTACTCATGGGACGAAAAATTAGAACATTTAAAAGTTTTTAAGAGTTTTGTCCCATGAGTATATGTACAAGACCTTGTGTTCTTACCCAACAATTAATTCAAAGCAATTAGAGCTGTCAAATTACTAAATACGTTACAGCTAATTTGAAAGGTTCAGTTTTTTTTATACACCCTGTATAATATAATTGAAAAGTTTGAATAAATAAAGTTTGCGGGATTTTCCCTGAGTCGAGCCCTGAGTACACATTGGCCGTTTTTATACTACAGACGCATTATGCGTCTGGACACATAATCCGTCTTCTGCATTATTCGTCTAGTATAAAGACGGGACGAATAATACTAGACGAATAATGTAGAAGACGGATTATGCGTCCAGACGCATAATGCGTCTCTAGTATAAAAACTGCCAAAGCAAAAGGGAAGTGCAATGAACCGAAAGTGTTTATCCGCGTTTGACGCAGTGGTTTGACGTCATAAAATAATTTATGCGTTCTGACGCCAGACTAATAAAGAAAGGTCAAATAGCCGGTCAAATACCCTGTCAAATCGTGACGATGCTTTTGGTAAAACCATGGATATCTTATATACACTAGATAGTGCATCTAATTATTCTACAATTCAAAAATTGAAGCTGTGATTGCAGACTCGGTGTATTCCCATGAAATGAGAAGATTCGTATGTTTACTATTTCTTAAACACGGTTAAGGTTTAACTTAAATATTAAGGTATTAAACCTATTCCAAATACATTTTTAACTATTCAAATGATGAAAGTTATTGTTGTTTTTTAAGCGTTTATTAGCGAGTCAGCGAGTGGGAACTAGCAAATGGCCGCCATCTCTTCCGAATGGGGGTAACCGCTGGAATATTCTTGGCTTCAATTTTACTAAGAGATGCGCTATCTATAGTCTCTATAAGATGATATCTATGGGTAAAACGGACGCCAAATCTGCCAGCGCGTATCATTCCTTGAATCACGTCTCAGATGATAATGCGCACGTCAGGCTCGATACGCACGTCACAGCGACTAGAGAGCATATTAAAAGAGCGAGAATTCAATGTTATAAACCAATTGTTAAGAGGATGAACGCGATGTGAAATAAAAAACTAAATTTGAAAAACCGACTGCATACTGTACGAATTTTGAAATTCAGCAAAGTGATACAATCTCATCGAAAAGAGGCGAGAAGAATTCAACAATGGAGAGATTTTTGGTTCTTGTGTTGTGGAGTTTATTCTTCAGTGAACTGGCGACTCCTGCACTCGGCTGTGAATCGAAATCTGACTGTGATGATGGTCTTAGCACGAGTGGTAAAATTGTGCTTATCGCTATCTTCGTTCCAATTGGTTTCGTATTAATTGTGCTGTACTTCATCTACATGTGTTGCTGCAATGGAGCGTCTGGAGGCGGTGGAGGTTACGGCGGCGATTGTGAGGAGGAGGGGACGATTAGGTACTGGGGAGGAGGGGGCGATTGTGGGGAGGGGGATGGCGATTGCGGGGGAGGGGGTGATTGTGGGGGAGGGGGCGATTGTGGGGACTAGACTTAGACACAAGATGATGACAGTTAGATGCTCGGCAACTTTTCAGCAACTTTTGACTGCTTCAGGTAAACGACCGCGAGCAGTCCCATGGGAGAAAGGAGGCACCACCGACAACACATCAAGAAACGAAATATGCCCACTTTTCGCTCTTGTCAAGTTGGCTTCGCCTTTGCGTAAACATTAAATCTGTCACAACTAAATTTATCCTATAGGAACCGTTATAGTCCAGTTACAACATCGACATTCACTATGGAAATTATTTATAGCATAATTACTACATATCAGATTTGATTGACAAGCATATCGATTTCGCCAATTGGGAATTTTGCGTTGTGTCATGGGGAACGCGTATTTCATTTCTTGATGTGTCGGTCTGCAGTCCCTCCTTTCCTTTCGCATGCCTGGAAATCTAAACACGCGGAAAGGAGACCGCTCGCAGTCTAGCTTCAGGCAACTTTTGTCCTTTTCCGGCAGGGTTTTGTCTTTTAGCAGTTATTTTCAGTTCTAGTAATTCAAAGTCGAGAGTCTTGTGTCTAATCCAAGTGGCGACGGAGATGGATGCTAAAGGATACCATGCTCATATCCCAATATTACACACGAAGTCACGAACTGCTGCAATGGGTCAATATTGATACATAAGAGAATTTAGAGAATATATACTTATATACTCAAACCTCGAGACTTGGATGCATCTGGGATGTCACCGTCTCACAGTTATATCTTAAGTCCTTGACATAACCACAGATCATGATGTGAGAACATGTAAACTATGAAAACGTATACTATTTAAAATACTATATTTATATTATAAACTAACACTTTTCTGGTTCGCTATACTTGTAAATGAATATAAACTATACGTTTCAATTCAAAAAAGTTCGAGAGATGCAAAATTTGGGCAATGTTTATATCTGGGGGTCCCCCTTTGTTACAAGCAGAACTGATGCGCAGAACGGAGTGGACATCTTCTTTAAAAGTGTTGGTGTTTGTTGGCTGGTGATTTGCATGCTCTTTTCACCTCTGTGACCGAGGTTTGCTGCTGCAACATGCAGGGCACGAAATTTCTTATCATTATTTTGCCGCAGATGCACATGGGCTCCCAGTTTGCCTCTACAAGAAACTGAATAGCTTTTATTGGGTCTTTGGCACTCCTCTGAAATAGAGGGCCATAGTGCATAATTTACTACTATGACTCAACTAGAAAAAGTATCATGCCATAAAAAAGGAATTTCGTTGCCATATTTGACAATGCTGATAGATCAGGGCCGTAGGAAGCTCCTTTCGATTGGGGGGGCTGAAAGCGAGGGCCGAAGGCCCGAGGAAATTTTTAAATTTAGAGTCCCTAAAATGCCATTTCCTGGACTTTGGGGGAAGATTTAACAGAATTCTGATAGTCAGAAAACAGCGTTTTAGTATGTCGAAATTTACAGGAAAGTATGGGCCAGACTGTAGTATTATAAATGCGCGGCGGGAATTTTCGTCGTAAATGGCAGTTGCGCGGAAATGAAGGCAGAACATTTGAGAAAATTTCGAAAATCTGGAGTCTCTAGATGGTCTGAAATGGCATTTTCAGAGTTTTCTTTCGTAAGACCCAACACGCAAAAGACAAAATAAATCATTAGTTCATCAAAAATGTGCAGATTTTGTGGGATTTTCTTGAAAATGCGCGACAGAAATTTAGCTAAAATTTCTACGCGAGGAACGATCTGGAGTATGAGTAATATCTTCATTCTTTGCAGTTTGTCACAGATTAAATGATAAAGTTTGCATGATTTTGAAAAAAGAATGATTATTAGCAAATTATTGGGGGGCTGCAGCCCCCCCAGCCCCCCCCGGTTGCTACGGCCCTGTAGATACAGTATACTCTAACCCAATTATTAGATAATATGTCCTGGAAAGGGCTACTAATAATTGAACAGTACATCAGCTTGTGTTTTTATATTTGAGTTATATGATAATTGCGAGTCGATCTTTTATTGGCTTGCAACAAAAACTGTTAATTATTGAAATATGTAAGTCCTGGGTCGTTTAAAACGAGGTCTAAAAGGTTGATATTTGATAATAGATACTTCTATGGCGCCTGTTTCCATATATTTTGTCCCTCCAAACGATCCCAGAATGCACTGTGATCTCTTTTGGGAAAAGGCTAATTTGACACGCACTTTCTGGTGTACTTCAGGCTTTACAGGAACCAAGAGTAATTTAACACAATACAAACACTACAATTATGGTAACATTTTTCAGTTAGTTATCACCATGGATTTTTGCCCAACTAACCAATAGGAATGTTTCAGGAAAGTCACCTATCCGTGACTCGAACAATAGGGAAACTACTACTGGTGAATTTGTTAAAAATACAATACACACGTGAAGGTGAAAGGACCAGATTTATGAATAAACGTTGACTAACATAGATGAGTTATTTTTTCTGTGCTGGTGTTGTGTACTCAGGTGAATATGATATTTGTGATGTTACTCTGAGTGTGTATCCACACCGGGCGAGCTTGAAAAATATGCCCGGTCACGGTGGGATTCGAACCTACGACCTTTGGAATACTAGCCCAATGCTCTTCCAACTGAGCTACGCGGTCAGGACGGGACGGTCCGGTGTGGATACACACTCAGAGTAACATCACAAATATTATAGATGAGTTATATTGTTATTCTGACGAGTTACACAGCATTGCAAAAAATGCAATGTTCAGTATGTTGGATCTACATCTACTGAATTTAAAGTTTGTTTTCGTAACCACAAGTCAGCTATGCTTACGGATAAGAAAGTTTGTGAGATGGCCGTTCATTTTAATGAAAATAAACATGAATTTAAGGATTTGGAATTTGTAGCCATTGAAAAAGTTGACTTAGCGAATGGCGAAAATGCCAATAACCCTTTATTGACCAGAGAAGCATATTGGATGGCACAGCTGTGTACAATTAGCCCTTATGGCCTCAATAAGAGATCTGAACTTCGATCAAAAAATAGGATCCATTATAAGTTGTAATAATTTATAATTATAACTAGCAAGCCATATTATGGTAATTTTGATCCTACTATTGATCCTCATTAATTTGTTTACTACATAATATGGTAATTTTGATCCCGCTAATGCTATAAAAGCTAGACATTGTTAAATTGTAATATAAACTGTGAAGTGAAGGAGCGTAATAGTATACATATATATATATATATATAGGAATGATGCAACAGGTTGCATTACAAACATATCATTCCTGATGACGACTAACATATATAGCCGAAATGTACAAATAGTTCATTTTGACCATTCTCGGCGTTACTGCATGTTGTTTTGTCCATTATGTCTTGTATTTGGTGACCAATCTGAAACAACCAACAGTGTCAACACTCGAAGGGACGATGGCAGTGAAACACATTAGAGTAACGTATAACTCATTATCTATGTTGGTTTTAACCAACATAGATAAACGTGAAAACGTTTATTCATAAATATGGTCCTTCATCGTCACGTGTGTATTGGATTTTTGCCCAACTAACCAATAGGAATGTTTCAGGAAAGTCACCTATCCGTGACTCGAACAATAGGGAAACTACTACTGGTGAATTTGTTAAAAATACAATACACACGTGAAGGTGAAAGGACCAGATTTATGAATAAACGTTGACTAACATAGATGAGTTATTTTTTCTGTGCTGGTGTTGTGTACTCAGGTGAATATGATATTTGTGATGTTACTCTGAGTGTGTATCCACACCGGGCGAGCTTGAAAAATATGCCCGGTCACGGTGGGATTCGAACCTACGACCTTTGGAATACTAGCCCAATGCTCTTCCAACTGAGCTACGCGGTCAGGACGGGACGGTCCGGTGTGGATACACACTCAGAGTAACATCACAAATATTATAGATGAGTTATATTGTTATTCTGACGAGTTTCACAGCCATCTTCCTTTCGATAGCTAGGCTATGATTCGAGCGAGATGCCCAAAATTCTCGTGAACGAGACGTTGGGCGTTGAGGCTCCTACAGCGAAGATGACGTACTTTCATCCTAATTCGCTCCTCAACATAACCATGTTGATACGTATCATTAGCAAGATTAACTGGCGTATTCACACCTTTGAACTATAAATAAACTGGAAGGCTAACTGCTTTGATGAAGGCCTATGATTTGTTGAAGCCAAAATAGTTTTTCTGAGTTATGAGCAGAAATACTAGTTGATCCCAAACGTTGGGCTATATATCAATTGAAGCTATTTAAAATTGCTATTCGGTGTGGAAATTTCAAGACTTCAGCGAAATGCCGCGGAAAAAAATATTTCAAAAAAACAACTGCAAATGGCAAATTATCGGCAATTAGTTTTGTAGTTTTTCAGTATTTCCCTTTTAGGTAAAGTCTTGAAATTTCTACACCAAATAGCGTTTTTCAATAGCTTCAATTTCATATACAGCACAACGTTCAGTGTTGAGTATTTCTGCTCATAACTCAGAAAAACTAAAATGCACTGGCTTCAACCCCCCCCCCCCCCCCCCCCCC